TGTGTGACATTAAAGGGAAGGGGAGCTATTTTGCCAAGTTATTTAAATACCTCAGTGATAAAAGTACGAGGAAATTATGCATGTTGCAAAGTTTCAAAGTGAAACCAGGAAGCAGCGACAGTTCTACGTGGTCTCGTGCATGGCTTCGATATGCACAATTGTTTGAATGGCTACCTCGTTGCAACTATACATCATATATCGTATTCAGTTTTTCTTATATTTGGCCAGATTTTCATGTTCAAAGAGGTAAAAGGCTTACGGACTGATTTTGGCAAAAACTGATTAGTGATGCGGACCTAAAGTCCGTTTCCTCTGAAGTTGTATCAGAAAGTCATCGAAGTTAGTCTTCTGTTCAAGCCTAGCCGTGTGATAGGAGAAGTTACCCCCGTCATCTTGCTTTAGCGGCGTATACTGCACCACAATCATAATTATTATGCTTCAAGTTACTCGCGGCACGTCATAAATAATCGGGTATGAAACGAGGTTTTTTATACGCATGGTTATGATTCCTTAGAAGTTGAATAAAAGCACAGGCAATCACAAGCCATTGTATGTGTCACTTCTGCTCATTTGACGTCACAGTCGTGTTTTTCCTCAAGTGGCTGATAAAACCACGGTTGGCCGTTGGTAAAAAATTTAAGATTTATATGTCACAAAGAGTTTTTAAAAATCCCGTCTCTGCAAAAACTATGGTTTTAAAATTAACAACTGTTGGTGTTGTCAGATGACCACACCATATGATAATGCTGGTGGTACTTTGCACACCTATAAGGGTGCTAAAGGTAACACCAAAATAACACCAGTGAAAGGTTTTGGTGTAGTCCTCTGATAACTCCGGGGGTGTTAAATTTAACGACACAGTTTTTGCAGAGTTGCAGCTAGCAGACCACCAAATAATAACACACGTACCTGTACAACTAAATACTAAATGGAAATAAATACAACTCTATTTTTAATGAATGGGACAAATGTCCATTCGAAAACCAACCAAAACGAGATTATTTCTGCAAACTTTGGCCTCCCATACAAGTTAAAGTGATAATGTCTATCCGGTTCGTAAGTGACTTCGTCACAAAGGTGGACGCACCACAATTTGCAGGCTCCCACTGGACGATCGCTGAAGTTGCCTGTTAACTTCCAGTTCCGTGGTTCCACGTAAACGGCGATTATATCAACACATGTAACTCTATGTGAAGTGGGCGTGGTTTAAACTGAAGTGACGTCATCCTTACGAAACGGGTACGCGTGTGTGCTTCTTGCGTGATGCAAAGATGAAACCTCCCAATATGTTTGACAGTTCGTGATCCCTCATAAAACACTGTTACTTCTTTTTAATACCAGCTACCAACGATCGAACGACGAAAAATCATGCTAATTCCACAACCACGTTAACATTAGTTCTTTAGTATTTTCTCTACTCTGTGAAAAGGTAAAAGAGTTGAACACTCTAATACTCTCGAGAAAGAGTAAGTCCCTTTTGAAAAGCACTCCAAAGAGAGGAAAACCACTCTTAAAAGAGTCAAATCACTCTTAATAGAGTGAAGTTCTCTCCAAAAGAATGAGATTTCCACTTTGGTTTGTCTGTTAGAGTGGTTTTAACTCTTTTGGAGTGGCTTGCGGAACTTACTCTTTAAGAGTCAGGTTTTCACTCGTTTGCCTTTATAGATATTCCTGGGGGAACATCAAATCAATACTGACATCGATTTTAAAAATCATCCTTTTACCTCAAGTACCATTCTACAAGTAGAGTTATATTTTTGAATCAGCGTGGTTTTATATCTTATTCCAAGTCAGCACTACTCCTTTATTCCTTATAGCGCGTTCATAATTATGTATTGGGGGGGGTGGTATCGTGTCTGCATTTGCCGTGTTTCACACCTGCACAATAATTCTAGTAATGAACACTCATCCGCAGCTCACGCATACGGAGTTGCAAGGAAATGTTTGTGGAGCGTTTTAGAAAGGCGTGAAAATGGCGGTCCATTCGCACTATGAAGAGCGTCGTGGAGGAAATGGATTGCCTAATTTCGCATGTAGCACCAGGTCCATTTATTAGAAACAGGAATGAAAACATGAGGCACCAAAACAGGTTTATCGTTACAGTGAGTTTCCCTCGGTCGACTTGGCTCTATGGGCTATCGGGATTGCTTGAGTTCCAACGTAGAGGGACTTTCTCTAATGAAAAAAAGAAAGCTCAAGACCAGGGCTATTTCAAAATTCATTAAATTCCCCTCATTCATCTCTCAGCAGACGACCAATGTATAGCTTTTCCTCTATAATGTCCCAAACTGCATACGCCTTAGGCACCATTGTTATAGAAGGCATGAACGCTCTTGAAGGCGGAACCATAACTCTTGGTGTCTCCTTCATCAGCGTCAGACGCCAGCGAGAATCTCGACGTCGGGCACTCCCTTCTTGATGTCTATACCTTTCGGCAGTTGATATAACACATAAAATACAGAACAATCCGTGTTTTCGTACCCCAAGTAGGACTATAACCTCCCAGCTTTTTTTCGTCAGCACTTGCAATGATGAGTTTTACGCCATAAAGTTATTTTATTAACCCGAAGAGTCCTAACCCCCCGACTTCAAGATGACTTAAAATACACCCTGGAGGGGTTAGGGTTGATGGGGAATTCAAATGTATCCAGTGGTGTAAAACACAGCGATTTATTTTGATGCTTTATTGGGTCGCATCGAGGAACCGTGTCCCCCACAAAAGCTCTCATAACAACTTATTGGGTCCCAATATTCACTGTATTTGCTTTCTTTGACGTTATGATATAAAATGTAAAGGAGTTCCCTAAGTTTAAGGACCCATGAAATGAATTCTGATTAGTATCACGTATTGTGTATCTCTGTACTCTTCTTCGATGTATGAAGACTGTTTGACATCTTTTTGACTTACGTGAACTGAAAAGTGCACCTTCAAATCACCAAGCATTCCTGGACAAGTGAGGGCGCTTTTGCTTTGATATTAATCCAGGAAGTCACTGTTCAGGTTGCATGTTTTCATCACGGACGTGTATAATAAAATCTGGACTCGCAACGCCCTTAATCAGCTTATAGAGTCATTGAATCCACTCGCGGCCATTTTACGGAGCCGAATACAAAGCTTTCCTGGCAATGACCGCCTTTGTTCTTCCTGACGTCAACAGAAGGGTGCCAACCCACGCATTTGTATTCAGCTCGGTAAAATGACCGCTGGTTGGCTTCTATTTCATACAAAGGCATTGCAAGTCCAAGTTTTTTTATACGTCCGTGGTTTTCATGGTCAAATTGTGAACTCCAAATTTGCTGTCTAAAAATATTTATGTTAAAAGGTTGCCTGCTGGCTTATTACCATATGCTTCCACAACAATAAATTGCCAAAGGAAACGAATGAGTGTTTAGAATATTTAGAAATATTGTGTGCACAAATATCAGTGCAACATTGAGGTCAGTGCCTTGGATGACTTCATAAGTTTGCTCATAAATATGTAAATTTTATCAGCATAGACCCAAAGGTGTAATTTCAAGGGTCTTGGTAAAATTCAGTAAATATTTCTGTTGCAGGGGCCCTTTAAATGCTTCAGTTGATAACATCCAGGGCAAAAGTAACATTTTCAACTACACCACAACATTGTCCTTGTTGCAACGCATTACAAGCAAAGCCGATAAAGCCAAGATACGAACATGTGGCTCTTGGGAGCAACATCGGAGATTTTCTTTAAGACTGGCGACGACAAAAAAGATTACTGGCTCCTACATTATGAATATCCCACGAGGATAACAATTATATATATATTTTTTAAATGGATCTGTGGGCTATGTATTTTGGGAATTCTCAGAGGACTTAAAAGCTGAGCTTAAATGAGACTGTGACAGGCTATTTATGCTTCCCAGCAATTCCAAGGCGAAATTGTTGAAATGGCTTGAAATTCCAGCAAACGACTGCCGATTAATATCAACGAGGAAATAACATAACACGATAAATATAATTCGCCTTCGTTTCCTCAAAGCGCCTTCATTTCCTAAAAAAAACAAAACAAAAAAACCAAAAAAAAGACGAATCGTCAGTAACAGTCACCCACATTATGGCTAATTGGCGTTTGGGGATTTTCGATTGGCCTCCCACTCCGATGTCGAAGAGTATGGCATCAGGTGCATTGGTTCTATTTCTAAGATTCCCAGTGGACTTGAATGCCGACAAGAACCTGCAAATAATGAGCTTTCCGCAGACCGTGTTTTGTAATCCAGCGTCCTTGCTAATTTCCACCCACCTGAAGGAGACGCACGAGACGTCACGGTGTGACTTGATGAATCAATTAAAATCGTCCTGGTTCTCAACGATCAATCGACAGTGGCGTGAATAACGAGTAAGAACAAGGCCGCGCAGCAGCATGACCAGGCCCACGTTTTCCGTATTATAATCATTAAAAAAAATCAGTTTGCAGAGTCCGTCTTCAGTCTTATCAACCGTGACCAAAGACAGAAACTGAGAACCAAAAGGCCCATCGCGTTTTTACACATTTGGAGATTTATACCACAGATCAAAGAAACGGAAAACAAGTGAATGAGAAAAAGAAAAGTGAGTTGTAATGAGTCAAAAATGGCATCCTATGACTTCATATTGGGCGTAAAAATGTCCATTTCGCATTTTAAGCTGAAAAGAGCTTCCGATGGAATTACAAGCAAAGAATAAATGAGCCACTCCGGTTTTTCAATAAGACAAGGTCAGTCGACGCGGGAACACTCTATTTGATGTCATGGCAGCTCCACATGTTCAGTGCGTTTGAACAGAAATAAAAAGGTCCTTTAAGCTTGTTATAGTTGAGCTCTGAAGAGAAATGACACTGCATTCCACTTGGATGCTTCCATATTTATTTGAATGGATAAAATCAGAGAAGACATGTTTTCCTTAGAGGTGCGCTTTAACTTACTCACACAGTACTGCCCTTAATTGTCAATAACTGTAATTTCTCCAACGCAGTAGGAACTCCAAGAAATGATCATTCACGTCATATCTCCCCACTGATGGACATACTTCCTTTTATTCCTCTTCTCTCAGAATGTACAGACGTTATTTAGTTATTAGAATATAAAATCAGCGTCAAGTGGGGCACTCCACACAACCTTACAGACATCTTTCATGTTCTTTTCCATGAAAGTGTATGTATTTAGTTTCCATTCAATAATTCTTACAATCATGACATCCGCTTCGCCTACAACCACGGATAAATTTTAAACATTCGTAATCACTTCTATCAGGGGCACTCCACACAACCTTACAGACATCTTTCATGTTCTTTTCCATGAAAGTGTATGTATTTAGTTTCCATTCAATAATTCTTACAATCATGACATCCGCTTCGCCTACAACCACGGATAAATTTTAAACATTCGTAATCACTTCTATCAGGCTTTTCCTCAGTCAGAGCTACCTTGAAAATATCTTGGAATTTCAAACTCATACAAATGACGCAAAATTCGTGTCTTGAATCAAATGTCCTGATGTTTAAAATAATTTATCAATTTCGATGAAAATGGGCAACATGGCTACCAAACGGATAACTGGTAAGCAACGATTACTGAAGTGGGAATCTTCAGTGCACCAGCGGGATTTTTCGGTACTGACCAGTCAATGAGCCAGTGTGGTATTCGAAATACGCGAGGTCATTCGTGAACACAACACCCATACGAGAGACCTTATGATCGCGATGATAGGGCAGACCTCGCGCGTGCAGGTTGATTTTTTCCCGAATGACCTCGGAGGCAGTTTCATTTTTGACATGCTCATTTGGTCTCACATCGACTGGCTCATTACCTGGGGCGTGTTTCCGAAACCCCAAACAAGAAAAAATTATGTTTCTGACAACACAGCAATGACCAAGTACATATTTGAGGCAGACCACCAAAAAAAAAACCCTGAAACGGCTACGTCATAGATGACAAGCAGACGACCTTGGTGACGCATCATTTTCACTCAAAGTTCGGCATGTCTCTCATCCGAGCTACTCGTGCCAAAGATTGTCCAGCGCAGAAAACAGCGTCGCTCATTCCCATACTGTTATCTGATTGGTCAATTACGTATGACGTCACCATTTTGATGACAGCTTGCCTGCTAAATTTGCTGCTCCCATTGCACAGGTCTCAAATTTGTATATGGAGCAAAACGACTGGTATTCGACTGCAATCAATGCAACTCAAAAACACTAAACAACAGAAGGGAACGTACCCAAAATTACCATTGTCATTTTGTAACCAATGAATTCTGGTAAATATTGTAGAATCTAACTACAATTTCGTATTTCCTTGCAAATAAATGTAATTTATGCGGACAACCTTGATGGAAGAAGAGATAACGACTAAAGCATTTTGCTTAAAGTTGCTTTTGAGAAAACTGTAGGCCGAATCACCTGAAAAATAGCAGCAGATTCGAAATTAACCATCAAATATAGAAAAATTGAAGGAGGCTAAAGTACAGGAGGTTTAGCAAGTTCTAGCTCAGAAGGATGGTTCGGGAGTTGAAAGTGTGCAAACTACAGAATGGACCTTGATCTAAAATAAGCAAGTTCATAAAAAATGAAACTCCTGCTAACCGTGGTTGATAATTATGCACAGGGGGTCTGCCCCCCCCCTCCCAGTGCCCCCACTAAAAAAACGGATGAATAAATATTGAACAAGGCTCACAAAAACTTGCCCCCCCCAAAAAAACGCACCACTGAAGGTTGGTGCCCCCACCCCATAAGATGCTGGTGCAATTTGTGTCCCCCCCCCGTAAAATCCTAGCTACGCCACAGGACACAGTCCTCTCATTTTGTACGATAGCTGACACAAAACCTCCAGAATGGAGGGCTGTTGAAATACAGACCTCAGTGTCCTCACAAAATATGTCCCCTCTATATACTATCAAGTACCACGTTTGTTCGTTCTTAGATATAAACTTTACGAACTCCCATACAATATGAAAGATTATTTTCCCCTATACCTGTATCATAAAAATTTCCCATTAAACACATTTTCATTAAAGTCCTGATAGACAATCCTCCACCTCTTAATTAATAAAATGTACAGTAACTTAAAAATAATCCCGGTTCTTACTTTGTATCATCCATGTACAAACATCGGTGGCATATTTGACAATTTTCATTCAATAATTTCAGTGGTACGTGTAAATAATATTTCGCATTAAGATTAAGAAAAACAGATATGTCGTGCCCAGAATAACACTTTGTGTCCTCACAGTTGACGATACGAAGATAAAAACGCAAGGAATTATTGCAAAATGTAGATTTGGGCATTTCATCCGAAAAAAAAAGTTACATGAAGTACACGTTGAAAACATATTCCAATCGGTGTGACACTGAAATCAATCCACTGCTGGTCAACGACACTTTCCTGTACAAGTTGCCAGCATTCAAATTAACAAACGAACATCAATTCTCAACATCAAAACCCTGCTCAAACTGTTCACAGGTCACGTACACTCTCACACATTTCACTTGACATTCGGTAAATACACGCACATTCAAAAATTATAAAACTTTTCAATTAAACGGATGACAATCCCCAAACCGACGGAGTTTATTTTACAAGGATTATCGACAGATTAAATTATTGTTGTCAGTGAAAAGAGGGGAATACTTCAACATGAACGGAATCTGATTACAAAATAACTGCATTTATGTTCTTTAAAAAGAGCAGACTTTTACAAGGCCAGATAACTCTTAGTTAAGAAGTTTTGAGTTGGTACAGGCAGTGTTGACGGCATAGAGGTACCCAGGTAATTCCAGAAATCAGGGGTCCAAACGTGTGACATTTTTGTGTCCCTGTTACATCTGACCTTTGTTATTTGACATGGAAATATCACCAGAATTGATTTCAAACTATTACTATTTGTTTGGCTCCTAATTTCCTTTAATTCATCACTCTTGGAAATTAGAAAATGTGTTCTGAACCTACAAAATCACGTCAGATGTGACAGTGACACGGGGAAAAAATGGACCCCTTCTTTCTGGAATTACCCACCAACATGACTCTGTTTTCAAGTTGTTTCAAATATCTCAAAGTTATTCACTTGTCTAACTATCATCACTGTAACTATATTGGCTACATATTTTTCTCTGGTTTATCAGACAGTGCCAAAAATGCACAAATAGTCAAATACATGACCCAAGGGACACATGTGAACCGATTGAAACAATCTGCTGAAAAGTTCAAACGGTAAAAAAGAAAATCACAAGATTTATGCAAAACCACCACAAAGGTTAATGATGTGCTAGAGTAATGTGTAAGTCTATAAATTCCGTTCCAAGTTTGGTGTGATTAAAGCTATACCATTGCACATGACGGAGCACAAGCCAGACTTTATTGTCAAGCTAAAGAATAGCCTGGGTCACGGTGCCCAATCCTAAAGCACATCTTGAAGCAAGAAAGACAAGCATAGAACAGGCTATCTCCAGGGCATTTCTAATCCAGCCTGGTACTACCTTTCCGACAACGACTATTCCAAGCTGACACTGCAAATCTTCACCTAGCCTGGTTCTATCGTACATTACTTCTGGAGGCAGTCACTCTGCCATGCCAGCCTCGAGCCCAGGCCAGGCCTCTGAGCTGACTTACTAGCCTGGCTCTTAGGGATCTCTGGCAAGATTACCCAGCATGTACCAAGCCACTGTCTCCACGCTCAGGTCCAGGCTAGCGATGGGGATATCTATTCCACCCAGGAAGTTGTTCTCCTTGAGGTAATCCGAATCCCAAGCCGTGAGCCGGATGGTGCGTTTCAGGACCTCGGACCAGGGAATGTAGTAAACGAGCTGAAAGATATTAATCCACAGAATCAAAGCAATCCTCAGGTTGGCGTTGTAATTGGGGTGATGAATTGATGGAAACCACAAAGTGGAAATTGGTACTTATCAACTCTCTTTGTGTCTCAGCTATTACTGATTGTGATGGGAGATATGTTTGAAAATCTCATTGAACAGCTACTGAAGCACAGCCATCATTTCCCACATTACCTTAACATTTTTGGCCGATCTGTCCAGAAAAAATGGAAATTTCACAAGAGTGGCACGTCCGATTTTCATATTCAATATTATGGTGGGCCATTACTAAAAAAAAACCCTTCCTGAGGCGACTTTGGAAAAAACCTCCAGTAAGGAAAGGCTGGATTCACCAGCTCTATCCGACCTGAGATGAATTGCGCCCTCACTGGTGAAAGAAAGACAGATAGTAAGAAGTTTCCCAACTGGGTTCCTGCACATGTTCAGCGCGCATGCACAGACCGTGCATTCCAGAATAAATACCATGTGCGTACTCAGCATGTCCCATGTCAAACATGCCTAAACGTGCACACCTATGCATTGAGCTCGTACCAAAGGACTGTCAATTTCATTTACAAACATGCCCTCTTTTGTTCCCGCTCGGAGGGGATAGGGTGAACTCACCATCTCGTTGTACGTGGGATTGGACGTCTTCTTCTGAATTCTGGTTTTTCTCTTGGTCTGCTTGTGCGGATCGGGCAACAGGTACGTCTTGATGTACGGGTCGGGCTCGCCTTTGTCCGGTGCCAGGAGATCGGCTGCATGCCTGACCATGATCATCAGGGCGTCCTTTTGGTAACGAATGGCCACTTGGACGCGGCCAGAAAACTGACCAGGGGCCACGGTGGGTTCCACAGTGTCGGTTGTAATGGGGTCATCTGTGAACAAAATTTGGAAAGAAAATGTGCTGATGCTGAAAGAACTTGGCTGATTTTAAATTTCGAACAGCGACGCAAACTGCTGAAAATTGGTGGCGCTGTGGGACAATTTCTCTCTTGGGACATGGTTTTGAAATGAAAACGGTGGCATTTGTGGTTTAACTGTGACCGTTCCAGCATCAAGTAAATTTTATATTAAGCCCACAGAAAGGTTAATAAAGTACATGGTTTAGCATCAATGGTGTAAAAATGGTTAGTAGTATCTTTTTGTGTGCTGTCTGCAACAAAGATGGATTACAAATCTTTATGCAAAATGAACATGTGAATTAAGTTTTATCTTCTGGTTAAATGTAGAATCATTATTGTGGGTTTGGAAAAGTAAATTTTCCTATTGGAAGCATTTAGCGATGTAGCCCCAAGCTCCCAAGAGAGGCTTGTGTAGGATTGAGGAAGGTAGAGCCCAGCAACTGTCACTTTACACTGGGCTTGATGTCCCTTGAAAGTTTTAAGTACAAAGAATGTGACATTGGTTTGCTGTACAGTGGAGGATTTTTGGGAATTAAGAAAGCTTTTTTGGAAAAGATGCCATGATGTTAATAGGTTAAATAACAACCCTTTTTCAAAACACAAAGTTAACAGAGATGACTTTCGGCACTTACTCTTGGCTGCTTAATTGTCAAATTGTGCAAAGGGTTTGCAGAAAGGTGAAAAATATCAAATCAGAAGAAAGGGTCAACTATCTGGTGCCATCTCCAAAAATCAAATGACTTTGAAAATGATAGCGGTCAGACCGGTAAGCATGGAAGGTGAGCTGATTATGGGAAATGGATTGCTTATTGTTTGTGTCTTATCTCACCGGAGTCAGTCGGAAACAATGGCCCATCTGTGAATAGAAACAGGTCATCGAATCAACAGGGCTAATATTAGTCTCTTTGGAGTCTGCGTAACATTGAGAAAGGTAATAGTTCACAGAAAAGTTATAGTTCACAGAATGGTTATAGTTCACACAAGTTGGTTGAGTTTGCACAGAACGTCGCATGGTTAATGTCAGTGGGTGGCACATACAAGTTTCTGCGCATTTAGACAGATATTAAAAACAGACAGAAACTATTTTATCTATTTGAAATAAAAGGAACCACGGTTCAGATTCCCCCAAAAAGGAGCCCAGAAAAATCTTATACAAAAAGGGAAAGCTGAATTTCTCAGCCTTTTAATTTCCCTTCATTTGAAATAGCGTGTACTAAAGCCATCAAAGGTAAACATTATAACACTCAGAAAGGCCATCAAACTTACATTAAAACAATTCAAATTCCCCCCTCATTCCCCACCCAAAAAAATGGTTTTCCCCATTCCCCCCCAAAAAAATGGTTTTCCCCCATCCCCCCTCCCAAAAAAAACAAATGATTCTGGATCAACCTTTTCTAGTTTTACCTGCAAGCAGCTTCACTTGCAGAAGAAGTTAATGAGCATTTCACTTGGGAGCATGATTAACACAACTACAAATCACTCTCTTTCCTATGTTTTTATGTACATGCATAGGATGATCCTGAAGAGGCTTTGCGCGGTAGCCATCTTGAAGGGAAGTTCTTTTGTTCCACAGGGAAGCCTCCTTTGTGCGTATCATGTGGAAGAAAAGCACTGGCCTACAAGATGGCCGTTAAGCAAACCCTATACACTTTTTACATTGTCTTGGAGAGAGTTATGACAGACAAAATAACAGCTTGCCAAAAAGAATTAATTCAGAGGCACTTTATTCTAATAAATCTTTGAATCAGTTTGCTTTCTGACAATAATTTTGTCTGTTATGTTTTGGATTACTGCAAATGATGGACTGCACCTTTGAGCACACACGTATTTACAGTCCACAAAAATTACATCTCACGCCTTTCCAACCCTCTTTTATCCTTCTGTTTTCATCCATGCACGATCAATTCCATTGCTGGATTGTCAGTCACTCTCATCATTTTGCCTTCGAGAAAGATTCTGCTTGAATCAAAATATCAGTCCTCTTGAAATTTTCCGACCTGTACGTATCTAGTCAATGCGCATTATTGGCAAGCAGTTTGACGACAGTTCCTAATATTTTACATTTCTGAAATTCTCCTTCCTCCCATCTTGGGGCAAAACATCGCGATTTTTTTCCCCCCTGCACCCTGTGACCCCGTCTGTGTAGTTCCAGCATGTCAATATACTCAAGCCAAATATTGGACGTTGGATTTGCAGCGAGTGTTGACTTTGGGGGTGTGCAGCAAGCAGCGGCACGGTTCAGTGCATGCATTGAGGAGAGAGCACGACCAAGAACGAGGCAGATGAGGATTAAGCCAGCTCACGGGAACGTCAGACAAAAATGCAAATTCTACACCCTCATAATTTCCAACTCCTCAGTCAAATGAACATTTCTGTCTCGTCACACAGTACCATCTTTGAATAATAATCCCCCCAAAGTTAAATACCTTTTCATATAAACCTGACAAACATGTACAGTCATTTGCAGAAGTTTAAGACCACCTGCAATTTTATTGGTATTTCTGTCACTGAGCCTGCATTACATTGTCTCATTGAATGATTACTTAACATGGTTTTACAGTGGTGCATAATATCAGTGTAGTGCTATGTACCCATTGGAATGAAACTTTATGCAAAGGCAGGTCTTGTATGACATTTTGTCTGCAAGGCAGCATGGGTAAAAAAAGCCAGTCTAAGCCATCAGAAATACGGGAGGGCACACTGAATATTAGATTGTTAACATGTCAAATCATAGAAATGTAGTCAAATAGGTGTTCATTAAAGCAAGATAACAAGGTTACACATTAGAAATAAATGTAAGTTGCCATGATTGATTGGTTTAAGATTGGTTTTTCTTCAGGTCGATGCACTTTTGTATGGGTGGTCCTAAACTTTTGAAAATGACTGTATTTCTGCATAATCCACATTTAATTGCCATTTTAGAACCCCGAGAAAACTTTTTCCTTCAAAAATATGGTTTCTCTTCACTGGCGTAACTTCACAGAAAATGTAAAAATTACATTTAAAAGATTACGTGCATGGACATACATGTAACTGCTTCAAATGCACATCAGAGAAAAACAAAGCCCAATGTCAAACAGACTTGTACAAATCCACATGAAATAAATTCCATTCTAAAAAATTAAATCCGGAAAATATTTGTGAGCCTTTTGAATAATTAATACGCAATAAACACATATTTCTTGACAAAGTTGAGAATCTTTTAGCATTGTTGAATGCCTGGCTGAGGAAAGCCCAGAGAGAAATAAAGGAAATGTTAAACCGCAAGTGCAAGATTCCCAAAATGACAGTGCTACATGTAGCAAGCACTGGTCTAATCATTGAGTCGTTTGAGGGCATGATGGGCGCTATCTGTTATCGGGTACTAGCGTCTTGGAGCAAGACTCAGAAAATGATAGCTAGGATTTCTAATTGGTGCCTTTCTAAAGCCGAAAAGTGACAAAATGGGACATCATGTACCAGAGTGTTATTCAGTAAAGGAAGAACACATTCGTAGGTGATCATTCTAGAAGAATATGTAGCCTAAAATTGAAATGCAACCCTATCAGAATAGAAAGCAAAATCTTAAAACACTAAACTTTTTAGAGTAACTTCTTAAGAATTTCCCCCACCCGATACGCTGTGAACGCCTACATTTTCAGAGAATAAAATGAATGAATTAATAAAAAGAGGGCGGGTCCAATAAGCCTAACCTATTTGGAGTGAGTAAATAAAGGAAGTTAGTTTACTCACTTTTTAGTTTGACGCTCTTGTACGCGAGATGGGCATCTTTCTCGTCCCTTAGCGACGGATGAAAGAAGGTATAGACGAGATCACACTGAAAGAAAAACGCGAAATATAATGTCACTATTCATGTGTGGATAATCTGTAACTTACGGTGACAACAGGATACATTTAATGTACTTGTGAGTATTTGTGAGTTCTTGTGAGTTACTAATTATAACGACAACTGTTAGTGTAACGCTGTTAAAATCTAATCCCCTCTTAAACCAGGAGTTCAGGTAGCTGAACTCACGTTTTCAGGTGCATGGATATGAGAGTATCCAGGGCATAGGCTCATTAGACACCAAGCCACTTCCATGCCCAAGTCCAATCCTTTTTTTTTTAAATTTTATCAGGACGGCAGAGCTCTTTGGCTTAGAAGGCTGCCTGCCATGCTATTGGCTTTCTGATTGGTCTAAATGCTGTGCCATAGCTGTGCCGAATGTAACTACAATTGAAGTTCACAATGCACCGCAAATGAACGTCAACCTGTGAAGGGGAAATTGTCTTGGCACCGTTTCCATTCCCAGGGAAGTCATTTTCATTTCACAACATGTCAGAGTGGGAAAAGATTTTGATGGATTTTCCCACAAGTGGGAAATCATTTTCACGACTTGTGACGAGTGAGTGTGAATGTTCCAGTGAATTCTTTTCAGAAAATTTCCCCTGCAAATAGATCACTCTCCAAACAGACCACTTGCCGGCAAAGAGTTTGCAGAAACATCATCTTTTGGTTTTTCGACTTACCTCAAATCCGTTCAAGATGGACAGCTGTCCCATGAATTTTAAATAGGGTTGTATTTTTATTTAGTAGTGTGTATATTACTTTCTGGAGTTCTAATAGCTGTGTGGCATTTCTAACACTTTGTGATTTATTGTTTAACTTTGGTACCGACGGTCAGCCATAGTTTTAGCAGCTACTTGTGGGAAAAACACGACTGTGACGTCAAATGAACAGACCCTTTTTGCGGTGTCAACTTTCAACGACAATGTAACTGTAGTTAATCTCCTGTTTTTCCCTCCGATTATGAACATTATGATTATTATCACGAAGTCACTCCACTCAATAATACCCAACACAGATGCCACATTTGCTGCCCCACTATTGCTGTCATCCTGCCGTCCACAGCATCTAGACAGTGCCTTGCCCCTTGATTTTACCCTGACGACCCAACCGTTTCTTTACCTGCGAGACCTCGGGCGGCAGAGCAAACAGGTGCCTCAGGAAGAGGTCCAGCTCGTTGCGCCGCTTCTCCGCCACCTGGTTGACGTGGGTGCGGCCCACCAGGGGCCCCGAGCGCAGGTTGAAGACGCGGGCCTGCGGGTGGAGGACGGCCAGCTTCTGGGCAAACTCGCTGAACTCGCTGTAGCGGCGGAAGATGAAGGAGGGCACGCTGGAGCCCTCCCGTAGAACGCTGACGATGTACACCTGACCACAAGAAAGGAAACCAGCCGCTTGTGAATGAAATGTCTGTAGTCTACAGCGGGAATTCCTCCCCAAAATGGTGGATGCAAATATCGTCCATTTTAAATATAAAAAGTCAATTAGCACCATCTGTAACTTAACACAGTTAAGAAGAGGACACTTGTCTGACGATGCTCTTCACCGTACATTCATAAATACCTCAGACAGTGTGTCGTTATTGAACAACGTGCAACTTAACCATGTACACGTACTACCATTTGATAATGCCCGCTCAGAAGTGATAAAGCCCGCCGCGTAAATCACGCATTGGCGCCTCGATATGAGACAGTCTAGTTGATGCTGATTGGGCAAGAGTCAGTGTGCACGTAGCTCGTCACGTGCATGCCAAGTCTATGTAAGGATACACTTTTAGACAACTTGCACAAGTTATATACAGTAAAATTGGCGGGAGGTGTTCTGGAAAATGAAAGTAAAATACTAGAACAAAATCATCAAAATTCCATCATATATTGACTCCTTTGACTCTCTGACTAGAAAAGGTATTTATGAATGGAAATAAATATCCCTTATTATTCCACTTGCTTTTGCCTGTTCAGTAACAGCTGTGATATTGAAATTGAACAGCTGTCATAGAACCGTGATCGTCCTTGTCCAAGAAGTATAATACAATTAAATTGAAGTGCGGGTAAGAAACTTCTGGTGACACTACCTGTAAGTAAGTTGCGTGCTACACCACACATTTGTGGTGCAAGCCTTACGCAAGGTGCGACGTTACGCCCAGTTTTTGAGACATTAGCTCCAGCAGCTCAGAATCCCAATGTATGAGGTTTCGTCCCACCCATTCTCTCTTCCCAGACTTACATAGTATTTGGCATCCTCGTATCTCTTCTGAATGCCAAACATCGAGGCACTCGCAATCTTACCATCCATGGCCATCCTAAGAAAAAAATTAAAACACCAAGGAACTTGATGAAAGCTGGTTACTGCTGACCAACACTGGGAAGAACAAGCTTTTCGATTTCGGTACAACAGCACGGCCAGAAAATGTTCCGTTGACATCAGGAAAATCATCCCCAAATTTTCCAGGATTGGAGACTTTTATTAGGCGCTAGAAGGCTGGTGTCTAACAATCCTACATGACTTTGACAATGAAACTGTATCCAACATTTTAGCAGACTTGCGGTTCATACATTTACATCAAATTCAAGTTTAAAACTTGGAGAAAACGATATGCATGTCTGAGAAACATAACAAGGAAATTGAAGCTGTAAAGATAGGAATTAAGGAACTAAAGGCAGCCTACTGAAATAACAGGAGTGCTCCACGTTTTGATATAGTCTCCCTAAGTGAGAGGGTCCAAAATCTGATTATCAAAAACCGGTGGTAATGTTGGCAGAATGGCTGACTGATCTAGCCTTTGGCACTTACGTGTATCTCTTGGGAGCGAAGGAGAGTTCCAGGCTGTTGGCAGCGGAGAAGCTGTGGTGGGCCAAGTTGTGGATGAAGAAGTTGATCTGCGTGGCCTTTGACCCTAGACTTGCCTCAATCAACCTAAAGGAAAAAAACGGTTTACACATGTTTAATTTGTCTCAAAATATTCCGGGTCAGTACTCAAAAGTGCACCTCATGGCAATGTCCACTCCAGTACAACCATCTACAAGACAAATCAAAACAAATATTGACCATTCGCTCTCACTATTTCTTGCATTGTTTTCTGTTTTAAATACAGAACAATCTGAAAGTTTACATTTTGAGTGAACACAATTTGCCTAAATCATCCACAATTCTACACTGTGCAAGAAACCAACGGCACGTTCTTTGTACTTCAAATGCCAAGGGCAGCAAGCCCTGCTTAAATAACAGTGGCTGGGCTCTACCTTCCTCAATCCTACAAAATCCTCCACTGGGCAGATTTGTCACAATTTTTGTACTTCAAACTTTCAAGGGGCATCAAGCCCCATGTAAAGTAACAGTGGCTGGGCTCTCTCTTCCTCAATCCTACAAAATCCTCCAAACACCTATTGGATTTTGAAGTATTTGGTTGGGTTGGGACCAAATATTTTCTTCACAGACATTTCAGGTTGCAATACCTCGTTATCATGGTTGTGGCTTCCGTGTCGCTTGCCTTGGGTTTGAGAGCATTCTGGACGTAATTCAGATCTTCTGGTTTGGACAGTTGGCTAATGCCCGCATTCAGCATCTAAACACCGAAGGGAAAACGGAACTGATTTTCATTTAAACCATCACAACAATTGAGAACTGGGTAATTACAGAAATTAGGGGTCCATAAGAGTGACATTTTCATGTCCCTGTTTCATCTGACCTTTGTCTTTTGACATGGAAATATCACCGGAATGGATTTCAAACTATCACTAGTTGTTTGGCAGGCACTCTGCAATAATTCTTCACTCTTGGAAATGAGAAAATGTGTTTTTCACTTTCAAAATCATATGTCAGATGAGACAGGGACACGAAAAAAAAACGGACCCCTAAATTCTGGAATTACCCAACTGACAACAAAACATGTACAACTGATGGAAAGCTCGAGCGACGACTTTAGCTTACCACAGTTTGACTAATGCCACCCAAGCGATGGATGGTTGGGACCATTTAATTGACTATTTGGAACCAGGCCCTGGGGTCTGGTCACACACTGTTGGTTATGTGTGATTTATCAGTGCAGAGGGAACCATTCACATGAAAATGACTGTAAGCGAGGCCATTGACCGTGATCAGCTCAAGAGTTGCAGCCAACAGCAAAATGCAAGTGCTGATGAGGTTATTACAAACAATTCAACCAGGGTCCTTAAAGTGTGAGACAGAGAGACAGGACATTCAGTGCATCCTACAGCAAACGAGCATAAACCATATGGGGGGCATGTGGCCTAGTGGTTGGGGTCTAGTAGCTTCCGATCATAGGGTCAGGGGTTCGAATCCAGCCGGTGGCACCATGTTGTGATCCTGGGCAAGTCACTTTACCCCTATGTGACTCTCTCCACCCAGGAGTAAATGGGTACCTGTGAGGGCAGACACGGTTATGTTTAGCCGTTTGTGCCGAAAATGACAGCACCGGGCTAGTATACTCCCCAGGGAGCAGAGATGGTTTCAGGAATGCTCAGATGATGTGAGCCCGATGTGCAAGGCTGATGATAATACGGTAAATGCATAGAGACATTCTGTAATATGCACTCTATAAGAAAAGACTATGATTATTATTATAAACCTGTGCGTCCATGCCGGTAATTCCCACCAGAGGACAGCTGTAAAAACTCAACCTCTCTTGTTCCTACTTGAAGTGGATTGCCTCTTTTTACTTGGTATTCATTGAACTACAAATTGTAGCGAGCAAGTTCGGGCAGATAAAAACTGAGAAATACAATCTGCCATAAAAAAGACACCTTCTAACACTATGCAGTCACCTTTCTTTCTAAATCTTTGTGTGAAGCAGTGTTGGAATATTAAATGGGAGACATTTGAGACACCGGCAGGTAGCAAACATATCGCTCCTTTACTGCTTTTCCGTCATTTTGAGCACCCACGGAAGAGCTTAAGCATCACGCAATGATAGAAAAAGGGCCATCATGTGAGCTGTCAACAAGCAGGTCAGAAAATCTCTCCCTATCCGATAAAAATAGTGTTAACATTCTCTTACCAAGCCAAAGAGATTGAAGAAGATGTCGGCATGGTGCCTGACGAGGTTGAACGCCGTGGAACACAAGTCCACAAAGTTCTGGAAGTTACTGCTCTGTTTCTCACCACCGTTGATGACGTAGGCCATCTCCGGCGTCAAAACGAATGGGGTACGATCTCTGTAAAAGGATGTTATTGGACAGCAGCATAACTTTCAGGTTGGCGGAGTAGCCGATTGGAAGGGGATGGAGATTGTGAAAACCAAATCGCTATGCTCTTAGAGGCAAAGTCAGGATGATGAAAACATTTAAATTCTGTCATCTCTGAAATTGAACGTGCCTTCCCTTCATCTTTCCAAAGCTTTCTTGAGGATGGTGAGACTCCTTGCTGATATTTGACTGAGGTTTGAATCGCATCCGTGCCACAAGAACACTTGAATTTTCAGTCCCTACTTGATTTCAAAGAAAATTTCCCAGAGATTTAGCTGCGATCTCTAAACTTCGACATTTCTTTGTCCTCTCTTACTGACAGTTTTTTTTTGCCTAGCAAGTTACGGTGCCACATGGTTATGGTGGGACATTTTCGTGTCCCTGTTACACCTAACCTGTGTCACTTGACACGGAAATATCACTGAAATTAAAGTAACTATTTTCATTTTATTGACAGGCAATTTGCATAACTTAATTATACCGTCATTTGAAATTAGCGAATGTGTTCTAGACTTACAAAAAATTAAACATCAGACGTGACACGAAAAAAGTGGATCCCACATTTACAGAATGGCCATGGTAGTTTTGAAAACTCCTTCCTTTCGTTAACACAAAGTCTTACCTCTTAATGTTCCCAAACATCTGTGCATTACCCAGGAACTTGCCAAAGTCAATGTGGAACATGTGACCAGTCCTCGTCACCATGATATTGTCATTATGTCTGTCGCCGATACCAAGAACATAGGTTGCTACGCAGTAACCGGCACACGAATAGGTGAAATTCTCGACAGCCTGTAATAAAAGATCCAAAGACAGGAATGCATCTCTTTCAGCATTTTAAAAGCAGCGAATATAATGCAATGGTAGAACTTCTCATTCCAGACTGGTTCCAGCCTCATCATTTAGAAGTCAGAAGCACAACGGAAGGATCCCAAACCAGCCTACTTAGCCCTCATTTGGTAAAACCTCAGTTTCCTTGATATACTGTACATGTAACAATTCCAAAAGGTAAACAGACAAACGACACCAAATGACAAGTGAATTAACAAGGGTTACCTTCTTGACCGCATTACTTGGCAGCACAGCGCCCTCTATAACTTTGAGCAAAGCCAATAAAAACTCCAATTTTGATATACGGAGCAAAAAATTGAAGTCTATTTATTGACATCACTGCTAGGAACTTGTACAAGACCTGACGGCACTCTGCCGTTTGGAGGGCAGACTACTTCCCACTTTGTGGGGAATTATGTGGGTATGTGACTCACCTTCTGGTAGTCTAGTTCTGTCGGGTTGTGCTTCTGCAACCAGACAGCCAGCGGCTTGTCTTTAAAAGAGCCAGTCAGGCCGTACTCTACTTGAATCTTCCGCATGGTCTCCGACTCACCAACAAGCTCTACCAAACCTAGGATAAAGAAATAAAACGGTTTTTCCGCCTACTCTTTCTATCCATTTATTTTAAACTCCTAATAGAGGGTTTGCATGGCTGCCATCTTGCAGGCCGAAGGCTCAGTTTCGCCGGGTTATGCACAAAGGAGGTTTCCATGTGGAACAAAAGAAATGCCCTGCAAGACAGCTATCAAGCAAAGCCCCTAAATTCAATTTCAACACATAAATATTTGAATATTTGATAATCACTCAAATGTTAAGCTCAGCCCTTATTTACCTCTGTTGAGTCCGGTTGCCATGCACCTGAAGGTTATCATTCTTAGGTCGAGACCTTCGGAGAGCCAGAGTTTGTCCATGATTCGAATCATCTGCATGGTCAGCATATCCTGTCGCATGTCTTCACCCGCCTACGAGAAATCAACCACGAAAATGAGCTTTCTGATAGCAACAAATTTATTACAGTTAAAATCTACAGGTTAGAGAGGTTTCACAGGTCAGAAATAGGTTGGATAGGCTGTGTGGTGTGATGGCAAGTGTCTTGTCCCCTTTTGTTCTCATTCAGTTGAAAACTTGCCACACCTACATGTACATGTCAAGCCATACCAACAGGAACCACATACTGGCTCTTGAAAACTGAACCCCCACAACATGATGAAGTAAATTGTCTGGCTAACACCACTGTGGCCCGGCATGCCCTTTCATGGTCATAAACAACAGCTTTGTGGATCGGTAGTCATCTGTTGGGCATATTGTCGATTCGTTATTTTCAAAACGTAGCTTCAAGCCTCTTGGGTCCGTTGTCAGAATCAGGTTGGTTTCATGCAAGACAAAACGCACCACTGAAAAAAATTGAATGTGCATGTTCCACACCATGTGTGCGGCAGTGTTGTAGTCGAGTACTTTCCGAGTACGAACGTTCTCCGCAAAATACTGAACTGGGTAAGCGGGAATAAAGCCAGAGTGCACAGGTATTTGATGGTAAATGTGCAAAAGTAAGATTACAAAATAAATGTTAGACTTCAGACACTCCCAGTTGTGTAAAATTTAAGTTTTAAGGAGAAAAGTACTCAGTCGAGTACTTTCTGAGTACTTTTATCCTAAAAAGTTAATTTTAATCAAACAGTGATGGTCTGAAGTCATTATGTTGCTTTGTAATCTTACCTTTATGCATGTATCATCAAATGCCGATGTACTTCAGCTTTGTTCCCTCCTAACTAGTTAAATATTTGGTAGAGAACTTGGTTCTCAAAAGTACTTGACTACATCACTGGTGTGCGGTTGCCATATGTTCTACATTCAAAATACCCACAGTATTGGGAACGTCCAGGATATGACCACATGGGTCAGTCTGTGATTTTGACGTCAATATTTGTCCTGTCTGTGTGACATGCGTCATATTAATTTTAAAGTTTAGAGTACATTCTTTAATTTCAAGGAGCGAGTGGGTAATGCAAATCACCTGCCAAACAAGTAGAACAGTTGGAGGCCAATTTTAACGGTATTCCCATGTCGTATTTATACGAACGGTCAGGTGTAACAGGGACAGAAAAAATGTCCCACATCGGACCCCAAACTTTTAGAACGATCCATTAGTCAACTTCTGTTTGATTTCCCAATGTAATCTGCTAACAACATACTTAAAATTCAAATCATTCATTGTTTGTATACAATCTCATATATTCTTCCACTGGTAAGCAAAATAAAAATATGTTACCGTATTATTTACTAGGCACCAGGCAAAATCAAGAGAAAACTGCCAAAATGTTGTCAAATCTGCCCGCTTTGAGACAACATATAGCTCTTCCTAAAATCAAACCCCAGCAACAACAGCAAACAAACCTTGTACATTATCGTCACGTCCTCAGCCAACGGATCGGCATTGAAGAGAACCAACTTCAGCGGGACGGTAAACGAGCTGTAGTAAGCACAATTCTGAAAGTACAAAACCAAAAAATCTTGAGTCCAGACTAGTGAGCCTACGGGCCTGAGTGTTTTGCGCAGATCCGGATCGCGATCGGTGATCCAACGTGGGTTCACTGACACC